GGTAAGAAAACCCCAGTGCTCTCTCCTGCCCCATGCTGCCCACAGGAGAAAACGTTTTCATTCGGCCATATTGTCGCAAAGACGTCAATGCAAAAAATTTAAGTTCATTTAGCTAGCTCTCTGCTGACTACGATAGATGCGTGTTTTTCACGCCTTTGCATGTGTATGTTTTTAGTCTGACGACGTGTCTGTAACTTGTCAATGTGTTTAGGGAACAAAACAACATAAAAGTTGTAGCAACGTTCGTCACGTCATCGTTAGTAATGACAAGCTGTGCAGCAGCACCCTAGGACTGTTTGTGTGTTGGATGCAGAAATGTAATAGAGTTTAATGATGTTTAATAATATTTCTGCACTTTCATTTGACTGACATGGCAGAATTCATGTGGTTGTTTCTTCATAACAGTGTTTACCATCAGGCTGTTGGTGTGCTAAGGCTACGGGAAGTGATGCAATGAGGGCAGAAAAGATTTTGGAAGTTTTTGAGAAGAGAAATAAATTATGAAATACTGAGATGAAGACTTGGACTGAACTCATATTCAGGTGAAAAGTTGAGCCAAAGTACAATAAACATCTCAGTCTCTCAGGATATGTTTTTCTGTTCAAGTCTTCATGTCTATGCATGTCTGCCCCAAACCAGAGAGGGGCTCTCATTGGGAATGCCAGGAAAAGCTATAGAATTGTGAGGGCTTGTGGGAAATATGTTTGTTAGCCTACAGACAGATGCTTTTTATGCATCTCAGAGTAAATGTCAAGCAGCCGCATGGTACCTGCCATTAAACTGTTTAAATATCGGGCAATTCCCATGTTGTATGTATTGTGCACCTGTATTGGTACAGGTCTAGGTAACCGTTCTCTCTTCAAACTCCATTAAAAAGTCTAATTATTTTTTACTTTTATTTTATCTTTAACCTAGCTAACTTTGGTTTTCTGTAAAATGTCTTGTAAAAAGAAAAATCTCAAGTTGAAATAATTTCAGAAAAATGTCAATAAAAAAAATCTGATCCCTTGTGTGTTTTTGTTTGGACTGAAAGAATGACCTGAATAACCATCAGTGATGCAGATGAGTGAATAACTCTATAAAGTATAGTTTAAATGTAGCAAATGATACATGTCTAGTGCTTCTTGTTGCTATGGTTACTACCTCTGGCGAAGGCTGCTTCTGTTTGCAAGAGTGCGAGTTAGCAGGTTAATATACATTATATTGGCTACGCTCTGAATCTAACGTTTATGGATAGTAAAATGTTTGAAAATGCAGTTGAAAGGTTTCTTATTTGGTGTAGAATTAAAACAGATGCACATTTCATGGTTATGGTGCAAAAGAGGGCGTGAAACGTAAAGAAAATTATGCGTTTTAGCTGTCAACAAATTGTCAGTAGACCTAAGGATGTGCTTAACCTTGTTTAACCTTAACCTTATTTGTGATTTTTTCAAGCAATAAACTTACGGAAAAAGAAAATTCCCGCACACTATCAATAGTGCAAAAGTATCAAAAAGGTTTAATTTCAATGTTTCGGTCGCATGACCTTCATCAGGTATTTTTTGGGTAGGAAGATACCTGATGAAGGTCATACGACCGAAGCGTTGTAATTAAACTTTTTTGATACTTTTGCACTATTGACATTGTGCGGGAATTGTTTTCTTTTTCCTTGAGTTTTGATCTTTGTGGTCTCTGATTCCTACGCACCTATCAATTGCCGTCAGGTGTGCAGAGATTGATTGTTAAATGAAAGCAATAAACGTACAAAATTAAGTAAACATCAACATAAAATAGTTAATACATTTCTTTGTTGCGAGAAAAACATGGGGTAACAGCTTCACACATCAATGAATTTTTATTTAAAATTATAGAATCAAGATTACAGATTAATATTCCATAATTATAGTGAATATGTATATATAGGCCTAGGCTTGCTTTGTGTGTAGTAGCCTGATGTTATCAACCAGTTTAGTGTCAATTGTTCAAGAAACAGTAAACTATATACAATTTATTTTGTACGTACATAATATGCTATAACCAGAGCACACAGACGGCCTCTGGTAAGTTTAGACTATTTTGATCACATTAGCCTGAAAAGAAAAAAATGGAAAAAGTGACATATGTCCTCCATAGAGACAATGAATAGTGTAGCATGTGAAGTTCATGTGATTTATCACTGATTTTTGCGTCAGCTGAGTATCGCTGCCGGGCACAGTGGGGTCAGGAGAGCAGCTGCTCTCTCCGGTCCAGTTCTTAATGGATCTGGCAGAGACGTTGATTGCAGAGTTGTAGCTCCCACATTCTCAAGGCTTGATTTAGATGGTAAAGAAATCCTCAAGTTAAATCATAATCATAATTTAATTACAAAATAAATGTAATTGTAATCAGTTACAGTTACAGTTACAGTTACTGAGAAAAAAATTTATAATTAAATGATGGTTACTTATGAAAATGTTAACGATTACGAAGGGGTTACATCTGAATTTTTCACACACACACACACCCCCACGCACACACATACAGATTTAATTGATTAAAATATGAGACACCAATATCTCAGGAGTTTAGTACAGAGAACAGGACACATGATTATTCGATAACTGTTTTTATTTTTTAAGATGAACTGGTTTTTCCCCCAAAAAATTTATAATTAAATGATGGTTACTTATGAAAATGTTAACGATTACGAAGGGGTTACATCTGAATTTTTCACACACACACACACACCCCCACGCACACACATACAGATTTAATTGATTAAAATATGAGACACCAATATCTCAGGAGTTTAGTACAGAGAACAGGACACATGATTATTCGATAACTGTTTTTATTTTTTAAGATGAACTGGTTTTTCCCCCCCAAGGCATTGTTAGATTCCAGTGTTTCCTGTCATAGCTATGCAAAGATTTGATTTCAAAAGCAGCATCTATTAAACTATTTTTTTTGTTATGATTTTAAATCTGTATTTAACCTCAGAATGATCTCAAAGTAAGTCTGATTTTGTGGTGGCTGTGCTTTAAAATAAAATTATTATAATCTTAATTCAAATGATAAAGGATTTCATTCAAATGATGAAATAATGGAGGTTGATGAACCACAATTCCAGAAAAGTTGGGCTGTTTTGTGAAATGTCATGAAACCAAGAATATGTTATTTGTTCATTTAATTTAACCTTTATTTAATTGACTATAGTACAAAGAAAAAAATTCCAATGTTTACACTGGCCAACTTATTTTTATTTTATTCACACTCCAAAAAAGTTGGGACATAAGCATGTTTATCATTATGTCGCATCAACTTTCTTTTTAACTACAGTGTTTAATTGTTTTGGAATTGAGGATACTAATTTTTAAAGTTTTGCAAGCAAAATATTTGTCCAATCTCGCTTGATACAAGACGTCAGATGCTCAGCAGCCTGTGATCATCGTTGTCTGATTCCCCTTTTCATGACGGGCCATACATTTTCAATAGGAGACAGATCTGGACTGATCTAGCACATTCCCTCTGTGTCTACGAAACCACACTGTTGTAGCACATGCAGACTGAAACCTGGCATTGTCTTGTTCTAATAACCATGGACTTCCCATGAAAGACAACATCTTGATAGCAGTATATGTCTGTACAATTACAATGTATGCCTCCATATCAATGGTTGCACATATTCCAGTAACCCATGCCATTTGCTCTGCTGCACCCCATACCATGACAGACGTTTGCATCTGTCGCTGGTAAAAGTCTGGATGGGCCCTTTGGTCTTTGGGACTGAGAACTCGACGTCCATTTTTCTCAGAAACCAGTTGAAATGTGGACTCATCTGACCACAGCAAACATTTCTTTGATGAGATGTGAGAACATCAATAGAATTAATGTATAGTTTTCTCCTTGAGTAACAGAGATTCAAGTTGCATTTATTGATGCAGCGGCAGACTGTGTTAAGTGACAGGGTTTTTTCCCGAAGTGCTCCTGAGCCCATGTGGCTATATTTAACACCGCAGCATGATGGCTCACACACATTCAGAGATTACCTGCCTTGCCCTACACAGACTGAGATTTCTCTGGATTCCCTGAATCTTTCCACAATATTATGAATGGTAGTTGGTGAAATACCTAAATTATTTGTGATTTTGCATTGGGAAATATGTTTTTGATTTGTTTGACACTTCTCATGAAATTTGGCACAAAGTGATGAGCCATGCATGATCCAGCTTTGCTTGCAATGACTGAGATGCTTCTTTTATACCCAAACATGACACCCTCATCTATTACTAATTCACCTGCTTACTGTGAACCATTTCAAAACAGTTTAATTTGCGTACTCTATAACCTTTTCACTTTTATTTTGCCTCTGTCCCAACTTTTTTGGAGTGTGTTGCAGCCATCAAAATCAAAAACATTTTATATTCACAAAAAAACAATAAGGTGGTCAGTGAAAACTTTGGAAATCTTTTCCAAATTAAATAAAAGTTAAAGAGAATTAACAAATCACAGACTCTTGATTTTATTGCATTTTACAAAACTTCCCAACTTTTCTGGAATTGGGGTTGTGGTGTTGAGCACTGTAGTAAGGTTAACCCTGCCTGGTTTTAATGTTTGAAAATGACTAACAGTCGAAAACATTAGAAATTTAGAAAAGTAATTAAAACGTAATCAAATGTAATCAGTTACATTACTGCAATAAAGTAATTTAAATAGTTACACTACTTATTACATTCTAAATAGGGTAACTTGATATCTGTAACCTATTACATTTCCAAAAGTAACCTTCCCAACACTGAATTCAGCCCATATCTCGCTTCCTCTGCCTTTCTAACAAGCATAAAATAAATTATGATGATAAAAGTGTGTGTAAGGGAGAGAGAAAGAGGGGGAAAGTGGTAGCAGGTGCAGGTATACAGAGCCATGGGCATGAAGGTTGTGTGTGTGTCTGTATGTTTTTAAGGGCAGGGGGTGGGAAGTGAGCTTCGGGTTACCCTGAGGCACAAATGGGGGGAGAGAACAGGCTGTGTGTGTGTGCGTGTGTGTTATTAGGTGGAGAAGGGGTATGTTACCTCCAAAAAAAGCCACCAGTGTCTTCCACACGTGTGAGGGGAGAGTGGGAGAAATCTGGGCGTTAGTTCATTAATCAACAAACATGGGAAAAGGGGTGAGTGTGTCTTCCTGTGGTGCTTCATCTATTATTCTGTCTATCATTTTCTCTTGCCGACTTTCTTTCTTTCTCTCACAGATTGTTATGAGTGTTGTGCACCCTTAAATAATGTATTGGTTTAGTATCACAACGTTTCTTATGAATACAGCATGATTATGTAGGAATATGTTTGTGTAGGAGATAAGTGACAGAAAGGAGATGGAAGGTGAAACTCACAAAGAAATGTTTGGGTGATTGAAAGAAAAAATTGAACAAAAATCGAAAGAACTGAAAGAACAAAAATGTAATTAGAATTTGCATTTAAGAAAATAAATAATGTTTTTAAACCATTAAAATTATTTAATTCTTACTATTGTTATAATGTAAAAAAATCGTATTCTTATTACATAGTACAAAAAAATGGATTAAAAAAATTAAATCGGCATGATATCTGCTTTATCATGTTGTCTAACATTAAAACATTTTTTACATTGATGTAATGAGAATGAAAGCTACTGTGATTTGAGGAAGGAGTAATAAGGCTTATAAATTACATAAAAATATCACAATGCAAAAATAAATGCTAAAATAGGTTTAATTTAAATTGATGTTTAATTCTGGGATGGGAAAATATGACCTGAACATTCCTTAACAATTTAGAGATTCACAGTGGAAGCTGCATCTAATTTATAATGTTTGTGAAATAATAAGTTGGTGTCGGTTTGCGACTTCTGACATGTGTTTGATTATCTGAAAATTATTTTACTGATGTGATGCTGTCTATATGCTCATATTGAGGCTGAGAGGTGTGATAGATCAGGCTGGCTTATGTTTGATTGGTATTAATGTGAATTAATTCAGGTCTGATTTAAGGGGTAATGAATGATCTTCTCTCTGCTCCACATGCTGTTCTGCCTGTACACGTGTCAGACACACACACATACAGTCACAGCTGAGTAAGAGTGACAGGACCAGGTGATTTCCATGACACCCTGTTCCTAGTGTGTCAGCACACAGCACACATTTCCTGCCAAAGACGAGCACAAAGTACACTACTTCACATGAACCAATATGTTCAAGCACTCTCAGTGTTTGATAACACTCTCAATGATCTGCCATAGTTTCACATAGCTTGTCGTATGTAGTTTTAAAGACTGACTGAGTTAATATTATGGTGTTCGTTAAAGTACGGAGCTACAGTTCAGGTGAAAAATTACTATTCAGTTATAAATATTCAGCTGACTAATTAACAAATATGTACAAACATGATGTAAATACCCTTAGAATTCACTTATTACTAGTGTGCACTTGTTTCCCCTAGATAGCAATATGTATACATATATATATATATATGAAATTAATTAATCAAAAATAGAAAAAGTGTGTGTGTATATATATATGTATATATATATATATATATAATTGAGAAGTCTCATAAGCTATGAAGGAGCAACATCTGAGTAATAAAATGTTATTCTCTGGGTATTATTCTCTCTCTCTCAGTATGGACATGAAAGCAGCTCTGAGGCTGCTCCAACGAGAGGAAAGAGAAAGATGAAAGAGAAAAATTTAGATGAGCTGAAGAAAGAGGTGGCACTGGTAAGAAGTTTTTGTTTTGTGTCTGTGCATAAGTGTACATGAAAAAAGAGAGAGAGTGTATGTGTGAGCCTGCAGGTACGAGAGTGTAAGAGATGATAATTAGAAATCAAACAATGAAATTGTCTCTAAAAAATGTGATACGTTTTGATGGTCCAACTAATTGACAGACATGAAGTGTTGCATTATATCTGATGTTCTTATGTGTGTTTCTACAGGATGATCATAAGCTGTCTCTAGATGAGCTCAGTACTCGTTATGGAGTTGACCTTGCCAGAGTGAGTCATCTTAACTTTCACCCTCGACATTTGCAATAATGAATCGGATATTTTTCAAATCGTGATGACATTTTAACCACCTGCACATTCAAGCAGCACACCCACGGCCAACTAAATAAGGCTTTGGAATATATATCATTTAATGATATTAGTTGATGGGGAAAAGCAGGTTTAGCTAAATAAATATAAATTTTTAGCTATTTTGTGATATTTTGTAACTTTTTGCTGCAGCTTAGTTTAATGGTTTAAGCTTGTCTTAGCTTATGTAGCTGGTATCCACACATTGTTTTCCTGTTTTTTGTGCGCCTTGAAAAGCTTGCTTTAAAGATGCTATATAACATTTTAAAAAAGTATTTTTATTTTTGAGCCATTTTCTGATAATTTTTAGCTTTGTGATACAGCATTTATCCGATTTCTGGAGCTTCCGTAAATGGAAATTGCCTGCATTTCCTTAAAACATTGTAAGCCTAAATAGATAGTTGAAACCACTGGTCTCTAGTCACCTTATAGGCTTGATATGCTTTTGGAAAAGGCTGGCCTGGTCTCTAGTCCTGTCCTGCTGAGTGCCCAAAACCCTTCTAAAACCACCATCCTGGCGACCACCTTAGATCAGTAAACCACTTTAGACTGGTTCAAGCTATATGTATTAGCAAGGATGTCTTCAGAGTTGCTACAGGAAATCTTGAGTAACTTTGTCTCCATCCCACCAGGGTCTGACCCATAAGAGAGCGCTAGAAATTCTGGCCCGCGACGGTCCAAATGCGCTGACCCCACCGCCCACCACACCAGAGTGGGTGAAGTTCTGTAAGCAGCTGTTTGGAGGATTCTCCGTCCTGCTCTGGATCGGTGCCATCCTCTGCTTTTTTGCCTATGGTATTCAAGCGGCCACAGAGGATGAGCCTGTCAATGACAATGTGAGTGCACTTACTATCCGGCCATGAGAATGAGAGGGCTTATTAATAAGCAGCTAGTAAGACTGTAAGTTGTTGTGAGATCTGTGGCCTGTTCCAGACACACTGACTTTTGGTGCTTATAAAAGAGACACAGGGTTAAACCTGTCTGGATCCTGTTTTAGAGTCCAAATGTTATTTGAGCTTGTTGTAAGTGATGTGTGCTATAGTGTAACTTTGTGCATTTAAAAACAATTATCACAATCTAGCTGTGAAGGAATTCATATTTAAGAATCCCACTTGCTTACTGAGCAAATCTGAAACAAGCTTCATTATGAAAAGCTTGAGATGCTGTTGACACAAATCATAGTCGTTCATACAAAATAATATAATTCATAATAATTAGTGAAAGTACCTATATATTTCTCTCTAGCATTTAACTAATAGCAAGTTCCTTTTTGCAAATCTCTAGTTTCCTATTTAAAAGTTCCACTTGCTCATTGCTCAGATCTGAAACATCCCTCATTATAAGGAGATGCTGGTAACACAAATTAGTCATTCATACAGTATAATTCATAAAAGTAGTAGGCCTAAAAGTACTCATATGTCTCTAATATTTAAATAATACCTGTGCAAGTTCCTTTTTACAAATTGCTAAGTTTTCTAAAATCCGTATTTAAGCCGATTAAAAGAGGAAATTACAAAAATGATGGGCTAAATTGGTCTCACTCCACCAGAGGGGAATTAAAACCTGCTGCACACGTTGTTGGCAACTGAGGTGGATACATTTCTTTTAGCTCTGCTGTCCCATATACAGTATGATGAATGAGTCCCAGTCTATGGACTGAGCTCCCAGCTGCTTGTGGGACAGTTTAGGGTCAGTGATAAATGAAAATGTGAAGTTAAGAATTATTTAACTGTGTTTGCTCCTTTACACCATTTTTGCATGTTACCCATTCTAAACTGACAGTGTGTGTATGTTTAAATGGTCTGACAGTGCTATTCTTTTGTCATGTTTTTCATGAAAAAAGGGTTAAAATATGGAAACTTTTGGGGTGGCTGGTGGGCTTCCATGAGAAACCTTTGCAATGACTGAGATGGTTTTGAACACTGGTCACTAAAATTGCCAGATGCATTTCAGCCTTAAGACGGCATAAATTAAACAAACTGCAAGATGTAAACAGCATATATCTTGTGCACTACTTGTACACCAGTTGTTGTTGTTTTATCTATATCATATTTACAGATGTAAAAAAGAGTGGTGGAGTCTTGGCTTAAACCTTATCAGCCAAAAAAAAAAAGTGAGTAGTTTTGAACCCCCTGACCCTTGACTTGTGTTTCTCTCTCTCTGGTTTACTGCAGCTGTATCTGGGTGTGGTTCTGTCTGCTGTGGTCATCATAACCGGCTGCTTCTCATATTATCAAGAAGCCAAAAGCTCCCGGATCATGGACTCATTCAAAAACATGGTGCCTCAGGTCAGTTTGATAACAGCAGTGGATTGCTTTGGATAAAAGTGTTTTGCTAAATGAATAAATGTAAATGTAAATACTTACTCAGGTGGATAACTCATCTCTCACCGGAGAGTCAGAACCTCAGACCCGTTCTCCAGAGTTTACTCATGAAAACCCTCTGGAGACCAGAAACATCAGCTTCTTCTCCACCAACTGTGTGGAAGGTCAGTCCTTCATTCATTACTTTATTCATTCAAGCATAATAATTAGCGTATTTGATTGTTCAGTTGTCATGGAACATGATCTTTACTTAATATCCTAATGATTTATTAATTTTGATAATTTTGACCCTACAATGTTTTTTTGGCTATTGCTTAAAATATACCCAAGCGACTTAAGACTGGTTTTGTGGTCCAGGGTCACATATTGTGACATTCATATAGACTAGGATTCAAATGTTTGGGGTTAGTACATTTTATTCAGCAAGGGCACATTAAATTGATCAAAAGTCACAGTAAAGACAATTTTAGTGTTACGAAAGATTTCTTTTTCAAATAAATACTGTTCTTCTGAACGTTTTAGTCATCAAAGAATCTTGGGGGAAAAAATGCATCATAGTTTCTGAAGACTGGAGAAATGGCTGCTGAAAATCCAGTTTGCCATCACAGAAATACAGTAAAATACATTTGAGAAATATATTTGAAAAGAAAACAGTGCTTTTAAATTGTAACAATATTTCACATTGTAATATTTCATATTGTGTCAAATGAAAGCAGCCTTGGCGAGCATAAAAGACTTCTTTCAAAACATTAAACAATCTTACTGACCCCAAGCTTTTGAACAGTAGTACACACAGACGTCCTGCAGTTTTTTCTCTCATTCTTTTCATTTTTTTATCCTTCTCTCTTTGTAAGGCTCCCTCTGCTGTAGATTTTTACAAACCCACAAAAGCATTTTTCAAAAAGCAGAAAGACCATGACACATTGTCATCTCTCCTTTCACTCCATTCGATCTCTCTCAGGTGTGTTTGACTCTGACTGCTAAGCGCATGGCTCGCAAAAACTGTCTGGTGAAGAATCTAGAAGCCGTGGAGACTCTGGGTTCCACCTCCACCATCTGCTCAGATAAAACTGGAACCCTGACTCAGAACCGGATGACAGTCGCTCACATGTGGTTTGACAACCAGATCCACGAGGCCGACACCACCGAGGACCAATCAGGTTAGAATGACCAATCAAGTGAAAGTAGTTCGGTCACATAGGTCTAAAATAATGCTCCATAATGACAAAAACATCATAAAAGTAGCCCATGTATTGTATTCCAAGTCTTTGTTTATTTGCTGAAAAACCTGTCCTAACTCTTATTAGCGCTGAGAGTAATGATGTTTGATTTGTGAACAAATTATTATTTTGTGTCGGATCTTGTCAATGAATCGGTTAATTCAGTTTGCACAACAAGGCTGAATGATTTGTTCACAAATTAGTCTCAATTCAGTTCTGAACTCACCAAATCAGTCTCATTGTTGTGGTTAACTGCTTATTAAAGAGAGAGATTATCAGTGACTAGTGACTTGATTTTCAGTCTGTTCATCACACAAATCTATTGCAAACACGATCTGACTGGTTGTGTCAGAACCCACAGCATATTTAGTTTCAGTGCAGACAGAAAAAAAAATGCCTGGACACAGTGCAAGCTTCCAGTATCAAGAGTTTCTGATCAGAGTTACGATGGCCATTGTGTCCTCAAGTAAGGCACTTTACCCATAATCCTCTAAGGACACTGTTCCGGTAATTAGCATATGTTAGGTCACTTTGGATGAAAAGCATCTGCTAAATGGCAGTGTTTTGATATCTTTTGAACATTTACAGGATTCATTCTCCCCTTGATCTGTTCAAACATCTGTAAATCTGTTTGAGCACATTTGACCAAATGTCTTCTTTTCTTATGTCACTCTGTGTGTGTGTGTGTGTGTGTGTGTGTGTGTGTGTGTGTGTGTGTGTGTGTGTGTGTGTGTGTGTGTGTGTGTGTAGGCAGTTGCTTCGATAAAAGCTCTGCTACATGGTTCTCTCTGTCTCGAGTGGCAGGACTTTGTAACCGTGCTGTCTTCAAACCTGGACAAGAGAACATTCCTGTGCGCAAGGTACAATAATACACAACACCACGTACAAAGACATTCAAGAGTTTGTAGTCAATAAGAATTAGATTTTTTTTTTTTAAAAAGGAATGAATATTTTTATTCATGAAAAAATACAATTTATCAGCACAACTGTCAACGTTGATAATAATGAGAAATGTTTCTTGAACACCAAATCAGCATATAATAGCTTTTGAAGTAATTATCACACCATCACAGGAATAAATTACATTTTAAAATTTCCAGTTTTATAGAAAAGTTATTTTAAGAGACTTCAAGGCTTTCAAAAATATAAAAAAATATTACCGACCTCAAACTTTTGAACAGCAGTGTACATTTATATTAATCATAATTAAGATGAGGGATTGTTCTCTACTGTTGTTTGATTTGTGACGTTGTGAGTTTCTGTGTGTTTGAAGAGGGACACATCAGGTGATGCATCAGAGTCTGCTCTGTTGAAGTGTGTTGAGCTCTCGTCCGGCTGTGTTCAGACTCTCAGAGACAATAACCGAAAAGTGACAGAAATCCCATTCAACTCAACTAACAAATACCAGGTACACCTTACAAGAAACACACAGCCAGAGCTGTAAAGATCTTAAACAAATCATGTTGATGTCATACAGATATCGATTGAGATATAAATAATCCCCATCTCTCTCTCTTAGCTGTCTATTCACGAGATAGAAGACAGTCCCACTGGACACCTGCTGGTGATGAAAGGAGCCCCAGAGCGGATTCTGGACAGGTAATCAATACCAGACCTTGATACAGTGAATCCATATATAGAACAGAAATAACATGAATCAATAGCTGTGATTAATGATGAGATGTCATACTTTTAATTGATTAATACAAGCTTTAACTATTCATCATAATTCAATGCTTGTGATTAATATATATGATTATTACAGTATTGTTATTGTTAACTGAACAAACTCTTAAAATATTGTTGCAATTTGTAATAAAATGTATATAAAGCAATATTTACATTTATATTAGATGAAAAACTTAAAAAATAAAGTTGATTTAATGAATTAAAGTTAAAGTTAGCTAAAACTAAAACTAACTAAATAAAAATGACAAAAGCAAATAACAAAATTACTCAAACTTAAACTCAAATTAAAATTAAAACCAAACTTATACAAATAGAAGCTCATTTAAAATATGAATGAATAATAGTATATAAATAATACTAAACTAACACTGTGTTATTGGCAATAAACAAACAAGAATCAGTGACTGTGAATATTTATGATACATCATAATTCCTATTTCATATTACTAGCTGTAATTATTGATGATCCATCAAAATTCCATAGCTGTGAATAATATCTGTCATCATTGACAACCATTATATTTTTAATCAATAACTGTGATTATTGGGTGATTGATAATGCAGGTGCAGTACCATAATGATCAACGGTGAGGAAATGCCAATGGACGAGGACTGGAAAGACGCATTTCAGGGAGCATACATGGAGCTGGGCGGACTGGGAGAGAGGGTTCTGGGTAAGTACTTCCTTCCTTCCTTCCTTCCTTCCTTCCTTCCTTCGCTCTTTCTTTCCTTCTTTCTTTAATTCTCTACCCTCTCTCTCTTTCAGGTTTCTGCCACCTGTTCCTCTCTCCCTCACAGTTTCCAAGGGGGTTTGAGTTCGATTGTGATGATGTGAATTTCCCGGTCAACCAGCTCTGTTTCCTGGGCTTAATCTCCATGATCGATCCGCCTCGAGCCGCAGTGCCAGATGCTGTAGGAAAATGCCGCTCCGCTGGCATTAAGGTATCCATTTATAGGTTCCCTCCATCCATTAATCTACAGTTCAGCACTTTGTGTCCAATGTCAAAGGTGACCGAAATCTTTACAGGTTATCATGGTAACGGGTGACCATCCTATAACCGCCAAAGCCATTGCTAAAGGTGTCGGCATTATCTCTGAGGGCAACGAGACGGTGGAGGATATCGCTGAAAGACTTAATATACCTCTGAGCCAAGTCAATCCACGGTCTGTGTGTGTGAATCTGTCTCTTTTGAGTGTTTGCTTGAGAGTCTGGGTGCATAAACATAAACTACTGGGTGTGTAAACTAAATCTGAAGGGGTTTTTATCTGCTTTTATTGCTTCTTCACAGATAATGGAATTGGGGACTGTTCTGTGTGTGTGTGTGTGTGTGTGCGTTTCAGAGATGCTAAGGCCTGTGTGGTTCATGGTTCAGACTTGAAGGACATGAGCTCCGAGTATCTGGATGATATTCTGAGGAACCACACAGAGATTGTGTTTGCTCGCACTTCACCTCAACAAAAACTCATCATCGTGGAGGGCTGCCAGAGACAGGTGTGTGTGTGGGTGTTTGTGTATTTGTGAATATTAAAATATCACACACTAGATGTCCTACACATGACAAATTTGTCAGAATGCAAGCTAGACTGAAATATCAGAACTTTGGAAGTATTATGTTTACATAAATTCTAGCAGGTGTTTCTTAAAGGTGCTGTATGTCATTTTTTTGTTCATGATGTTGGAAAAAAGTTATATTTTGGTTACTGATGCCATTGTCATAATGCACTATTCACAGTAACCATGATTTGTTTATTTTACAATGGGAATTGGCCAGTAACTTAAAAAACATTTTTAAAATGAAATTAATACTTTTACTCAGCAAGGATGCATTAAACTAATCAAAACTGACAGTAAAGGCATTTTTAATGTCACAAAAAAAATTATATTTCAATTGCTGTGCTTTTTTAAACTCTGTATTCACCAAAGAATCCTGGAAAAAAAATGTATCACAGTTTCCACAAAAATATTAAGCAGCACAACTGTTTTCAACACGGATAATAATAAACAATGTTCTAAATAAGCATATTGGAATGACTTCTGAAGGATCATGTGACATTGAACTTGAGTAACGGCTGCTGAAAATTCTGCTTTGTCATTACAGGAAAAAAATTACATTTTAAATTAAACTAGAAAGCAGTTACTTTGAATGATAATCATATTGCACAGCATGACAGTTTTTACTGTATTTTTTGATCACATAAATGCATTATTGGTAAGCATATGAGACTTCTTTAAAAAAACATGAAAAATCATACTGACCAAACATTTTTGAACAGTAGTGTACACTTAATGTCTGACAGACTGCCTGAAAGACTTTTTGACTCTGACTTTGATTTTCTGACTGGTCTTTAATTCTGAAAGCTCTTTCTCTGATTCTGACTGGCTGACTGGTCTTTGACTCTGATTCTGATTGGCTGGCTCTGGCTGCAGGGTGCCATAGTGGCAGTGACAGGTGATGGGGTGAATGACTCCCCTGCTCTGAAGAAGGCTGACATTGGCATTGCCATGGGAATCTCTGGCTCCGATGTCTCCAAGCAAGCTGCTGACATGATCCTTTTGGACGACAACTTTGCCTCAATTGTTACGGGGGTGGAAGAGGGTAAGATAGAGAAGGAATATTAAGTATTAGAACAAAAGAAATGAAGCATTGCAATTTTTCCTTGCTTTCTCTCTTTCAAATTTCTAAATGTATTGGCCTGACTGATTTACACAATGTAAAAAAAATTACTTCTTTCAATGTATTTATTACATTAATACAAATTCTATATATATATATATATAAAATATTCAGTAAAATAAAATACTCTGTTTTAGGTCGTCTGATCTTTGATAACCTGAAGAAGTCGATTGCGTACACGCTGACCAGTAACATCCCTGAGATTACACCCTTCCTGCTCTTCATCATTGCCAGTGTGCCGCTGCCTCTGGGCACCGTCACTATCCTCTGCATCGACCTTGGCACTGACATGGTGTGTTATACACACTCAAACTTGTGTGCATTCAGTCTTACTTCCAGTTCCTGTCAAGTGTGATCCAACCCTCGGGCACCAGACACCAGACCATCTCACACACACACACACACACACACACATATTAGCATCTTTGTCATCACCATCATCATTCTCTCTCTCTCACTCTTCTCAGGTTCCTGCGATCTCTCTAGCGTACGAGTCGGCAGAGAGTGACATTATGAAGCGTCAGCCCCGAAACCCTAAAACTGACAAGTTGGTGAATGAGAGGCTCATCAGCATGGCTTACGGACAGATCGGTCAGCCTCAAGTGCACTTGCACACAGATATCAGCAAACGCACACACATGCCCTTTATAACTTAATTCTTGTAAACTTTGTATTCTGTGAAGAATTTCTTTGTGCAAACAAATGATCATCCGAGGCATCATGCACTTATTTTTTGATGGGTCGCTAGGTTCACTTGGTGCCCTAGGCAAGATAAGACTAAATCAAAGGGGAAAAAACTGTTTTAACTACTTATTACTTCCTTTTATGTGTGTAATACGAGACAGTGTCATTTTTTTCTGTGGTAAGTGCAAACACCTTTTTATCCTCAGTCATGCAACTTATTTTTCAAAGAAATAGATTTTGCACTATAAGTGTCAATGAAAAACGACTTTAGAAATCTGAGGGGGTGAATAGGCCTCATGCTTCTGATTAATATTGTGAATAAAATAGCTTTTCATGCTCTGCAGGGATAAAAGCAATTACATGTGTTTGTGTATTTGTGTTTATCGGTGCATCTGTATTTGTGTTTTTTGTGTGTAGGTATGATCCAGGCACTGGGAGGATTCTTCACCTATTTTGTGATCATGGCTGAGAATGGCTTTCTGCCTCAAACACTGCTGGGAATTCGACTGGATTGGGACGATCGCGCAGTTAATGACGTGGAGGACACCTATGGACAGCAATGGGTAAACGTACACACACACACACACAGACAGACAGACAAACACACATACATTTCTTTAATGTTTTTGAAAGATGTCACTTGTGTTTACCAAGGCTGCATTTATTTATTTTTTTTAATATAGTGAAAACAGTAATATTGTAAAGTATTATTGAAATTTAAAATCACTGTTTTTTATTTGAATATATGTTATAATGTAATTTATTCCTGTGATGCAAAGCTGAATTTTCAGCATCATCACTCCAGTCTTCCGTGTCACATGATCCTTCAGAAATCATTCTAATATACTGATTTGCTTCTCAAAAAACAATTCTTATTATCAATTTTGAAAACAGTTGTGCTGCTTAATATTTTGGTCGAAACTGTGATGCTTTTTTTCCCCCGGATTCAAAATTCTTTGATGAATAGAAAACTCAAAAGAAGCATTTATTTGTTGTAACAATGTAAAAGTCTTTACTGTCACTTTTGATCATTTCAATGTGTGGTTGCTGATTAAAAGTATTAACTTATTTTTTTTATAATTTCTTTAAAATATACTGGTGAATTACTCACTTAGGTTTATTTGATTAATTGTAATTTAGAATTAATTTTGATACATTTGTACAAAATCAAATAGATTTACACAGTGAATTCCAAAATTATGTGAAGTTGACATAAAGGAAATATATTTTGGCATCTTTTTACCAGAATTTTATTTTTTTATTTGTAAGCCATAGTTTTTTGCATTTTACAGGCTTAAACTGCAAGTTATTACTGTTTTTTAATTGATTTATTAACAACAATTACATATGGGAATAATGTTCGCTATTTTTGAAATGTTTGTTTTTCATTATGTATCTATTTAAATATTTATGTTTCAGACTTACGAGCAGCGTAAGGTCATCGAGTTCACCTGTCACACCTCGTTCTTCGCCAGCATTGTGGTGGTGCAGTGGGCCGACCTCATCATCTGCAAGACACGCAGGAACTCCGTCTTCCAACAGGGCATGAAGTCAGTATGTGTTTGTGCATGTTTGTGAGTGCATTCAGGAGTGTGATGTTTGCATACGTCTCTGTTAAAGGCTGTTCTCTAACCTGTGCACTTATAGGAATAGGATTCTCATTTTTGGACTGTTTACTGAGACGGCTCTGGCAGCCTTCCTGTCCTACTGCCCCGGTATGGACATTGCCCTGAGGATGTACCCACTCAAGTAAGGGACACACACACTTCTGCTCCCTAGAAGAGCTTATGTTCTTTGCTCCTCCTGTCCTCACCTTTTTCCTTTCTCATTTTCTTATTCCTTTTACAGGATTATGTGGTGGTTCTGTGCTTTCCCGTACAGTTTGCTAATCTTTGTGTATGACGAGATCCGTAAATTAATCCTGCGCAGGAATCCGGGAGGTGAGCACCGATTTTCACAAAGAACATTTCTGAGCAGTGTTATTTTAATAGCATTGAGATATATGCATAGTTTTATGTATAGTTATGTATGGTTTTTATTCATATCTTGAATTAGATTTATTTGTACATTTTCCATTTCATTTTATTTTTAGTTAAATTTTTAGTAATTTTGCTGTTTTTAGTAGTTTGAATTAGATTTATTTGTACATTTTCCATTTCATTTTATTTTTAGTAAAATTTTTAGTAATTTTGCTGTTTTTAGTAGTTTTTGTTGATATATATATATATATAAAAAAATTTCAAGTGACAAGTAACAATGTTTTTTGTGATTTTAATTTTAATTTCAATTTTAGTTAAATGATTTCTGTATGTATACTTGGCAAATAAAATCTCCTTTATGAATAACAACTTGGTACTTAAACTGATGCATGTTTAATTTACAGGTGCAGCTAAAGTTTTCCAATATTGCTATTAAAAATCAAGGTTCAAGAAACAATACAGCAATTTTACAGAGAATCTGTAGAACCCTAATTGAGTCTATGTGAATAGAGCTTTTTCCTAGATATATCTTTTTAATTCAGTTCATTAATTTTCCTCTCTCTGTCTTTCATTTCCAGGCTGGGTGGAAAAAGAAACCTACTATTAACAAGATTATGCAGTCTCTGTGCATGATTGCTGCTGTGTGTGTCTATTTGTAAAAGATATGTAGAAAGGTAATGAGACAAATGAAGAATCAGACAATCATGTGACATTTATCATGTAAGAATGAATGTGTGTGTCTTTGACTGAGTGTGTACATGCACTGGGCATAATTTGTTTACATGATGTATCCTGAATATCATTATCCTCAATAAATTGGTGATTTAATAGCCAAATAGGTTTCAGGATCATTACATTTCTTGTTCTGAATTGATTTTGCTGTGAATTTATAACTTTTAGGCTAGAGGTAAGCTTTCTTTTAGAGTTAATTTTCTTTTTCACTTGTGTGTGAAATGTAGTACACGATTCAAATATTTATTTGCAATTTTATGTACTGTACAAATTTGTTGGTACAAGTTTAATGCAAATTTATTAGAATTGTGTTGTAATGTTACTATAAATATAATTCTGTGATTCTATTTAAATACTTACAAGCAGCATAAAATAAAATTCAATAAACTTTTCAACAAACTTTTGCAGTGATGAATTTGACATGTTTTCTTACTTAATTCACTGTGCAACTTAAACTGTGAACATGAAGATGAATTTTAAAAAAAAATCTAAATGGCTGAGTATAACGTTCTTTTCGACTATTATTATTTAAACCGAAAATAAATATATTCAAGAATACCAATTTACATAGCCTAACTGACCTCACATACCGGCTGTACTGACCTTACCAAAATGGCGGCGGTCTGTGACTTCTTTTGTGACATAACATCCTGCTGCGTCACGTCCGGACACTCAAGCGCAAAAACATGGCGTTGCTTCTAAGGTCAGTACGAACATGTAATTTTAAAAATGTGACAGTTTTGCTTTTTCTTTTGTTTAAGATGAAGTGAATCGTTGTGATATTCTCTTTGAGGCCATATTATCTGGCAGCGCTGATGTTGTTAACGTGTTGTATATGTAACAAGTGCACTTTGATCTACTGTAACCTGTATAACCATGTATATACTTCATTATTTTTTTTATTTATTCTCAGTCCCTTTATTTTTATTTCAACATCAAGTCACTTTCAAAATGATAATAGTAATAATTTATTCTGTTGTGTTTGTTCATACTGTCAGTAAAGTTCTTGTCACCAGAATCAATCAAATCAATGATAATTAAATAACAACTTTGAGTACTGTGTGGTTTGTCACTTAATATGTCATTTTCATATGTCTGAGCTCATCTCTGGAGTCCTATCACATGCATTGGATCAGACAGTTTGACATGACATCCCTGATTTATAGAATTATCCATAATAGGTGTTACTTATATCCTGTTAGGTTATTTGTATGAACAAACAGTGAATCTTCATATGCCAGGTTCAACTGTTCAGGGCCATATTACCGAAAGGTCCTGTGCAATCTGACAAGTTACAGACCAGAGACCAGAAATGGGATGTTTATAATGTACAGAATAACCAGGTGTCCCTGGTACATTGTTTTAACTGTATGTAAATGTGTACTTAAATGAGCTAGTTTTATACTTGAATACGTGTCTGAAATATATGGGGTTTCTCTGTGTTAAAGGACAGTGGCCCGGCAGGGTCTGTGTTCATCACGGTTGCAGTTTGGCATACTCTACAGACAGTGAGTGTACTTGTGTTTTCGTAACACATTTTCAAATGAAGAATTCATATTAATGTGTAAAGCTCCTTTTGTTCCGTTTTTTCAGTGCTGTTCCTATGGGAACTACAGCAAAAGAGGAAATGAACAAGTTTTGGACAAAAAACACACGACTCAACCGACCTGTCTCACCTCATGTAAGCATCTACAAGTGAGTGTTAAAACTTCTGCCTCTTGGCGTGTATTGACCATACAATCTACAGGATTAGATGTGTGAGGATGTTGGTTTGGGGTGAGGTCTAAATGGAATGTAGAATAAAAGTCGATGAGTTAATGGCTTTGGTGTTTTCAGGTGGTCAGTCCCCATGATGATGTCCATCTCGCACAGAGGAACAGGAGTAGCACTGAGCTCAGGTAGCTAACGTATATTCTTGCCTTTTGATAATGTGTTTAAAGGACCACAAAATGATAACTATAATGATACTTATATTAGCATCCACGTCAATGCATGATAATGTTCTGTTTATTATAAGCATACAGTCATGTTATCTACTGCTTTAAATGCTCAAGCACTTTAAAGTTAGGTATATTCTGATTGGCTGATTTTGCATATTAATATAAAATGATGATGTTGATCTTTTTGGTCTCAGGAATCTCTGTGTTTGCACTTGCCGCGTTGGTGTTACCTGAGAGTTACCCATATTACCTTGATCTGATTCACTCCATGTCCTTTGGGCCCCAGTTTCTTGCTTTCAGCAAATTTGCTCTGGCTTTCCCAGTGGCTTACCACACTTTCAACGGCATCCGTCATCTGGTACACACATATATAAATAATAAATGAAGTATATTCATATACATATTCACTCCTGCTGATAATGACTCATGACAGTGTAACCAGTTGAATGTGACCAAATATGTGATCAAAGTGTGAAATTAAGACGCTATGGTTCAGTAGTTTGGGGTCAATAAGATACATTTTTTAAATCAAGAAGTTACAACTTTTATTCAGCAAGGATGCATTAAATAGATCAAAAGCGACAGTGCAGACATTTATAATGTTAATAAGAGTGAGATTTTACCAATAAATACTGTTCTTTTGAATTTTCTATTCATTAAAGAATCCTGAAAAAATATATCACAGTTTCCATACAAATAATAAACACCAACGCTGTTTTTAACATTGAAAATAATATTCAGCATATTAGAGTGATTTCTGAAAGATCATGTGACAGTGAAGACTGGAGTAACGGATGCTGAAAATTCAGCTTTGCCATCACAGGAATAAATGACATTTTAAAATATATTAAAACAGAAAATAGTTATTTTAAAAAGTAATAATATATATAGTTTTATATCAAATAAGCGCAGCCTAGGTGAGCATAAGAAACTTCTTTCAAAAACTTTAAAAGCCTTACCAACCCCAAACTTTTGAACGGTAGCGTATTTTACATTCTTCAATGTTTTCCTCATCTGCCAGAATAATGAATTATCATTTTATAAGACTATTCTGAGCAAATACTGATATCATTTTGATTTATTATTTAGCATATCATGTAATTAATTTGATTCTTTTTTTAATATGCCCCTTTGATATATATCTCTCTTTTTCTCTTTCTTTCAGATATGGGATCTTGGGAAGGGTTTTAGGATTCCTGAAGTCTATCGTTCTGGCTACATTGTCATTGCTCTGACTGTTGTCACATCGATTGGTCTTGCTGCCATGTAAACCCATGGACATGAGAGGACTGGGTGAGACGCACAAGTGAAGAAGACGTGGAATTGGATGAAGTGGTGTTCTTTTGTTTAACTGTCTTCGAAGTGGTCTATATAAGGACCAAATTGATTAATTTAATAAATAATAAAAAATATATATCAACCCAAAAAATATCCTCTGTGTTTTTCATGCCTTGCACACTGCTAAACTGAAAAAGAGGGGCATAGCACTTAACTTGGCATTTAAAATTAACTTTACAGTAATCATATGGAAATATGAGAGGGCTGAGCATTTGATTTCTTGTTGAAATCTTGTTGAGCTTTGATTGACTTGTGTTTGATTTAATTTCAGTTGAATAAAAATCACTTAGGGTAGCAAAGGCCCTTCACCAATTAAACCTCTAGACTCGATATATGACAAATGTAGTTTTGTGATTTCCTCCCAGCATGACTTGGTTATAAGAAGAGGTGAAGATCGTAGTATGAATCACGTACTGTTTTTCTCCGCCCAATTTCCTGTATCTTTTGCATCAATAATGATACTGTTTTAAGATGATGCATATAAAGCATTTATATCTGTTGCCTTCATGTGTCATAGTGATGGTAATGGTGATGTTTCATAGTAGCCACTAATAAGAGAGTGTGATTAGAATCTTGTTAGTATTTTAAATGAACCCAAATGTTGAAGTCTGGCTGCACAGGTTAAATTATTCTCCTTGAATCTTGTTCACCTGAATGCTAATGTCAAGGATTGCTGTGGGCTTTTTTCATTTAAATGGTAATGTCATAAAATGGATTGGTTTGGATCACAGACTACATGAAATCACTACACTGAATGTTTATTGAAAAACTCCATCCTGGAGTCCTAAAGCACCTGTTCTCTCATCATTTCCCTTCCTCTTCACTAAAAAAACTAAATCAAGAGATAACGTATTTATCTGCATGTGAAACTAGAAGGCATGCCCTTCCACTTGTTGTGGTCAAGAATAAACAAATCATGTTCAGTTGCAGTATTGCATCAGGTTGGTTTATGGTTTAGAGCAGAGGTTTTCAAACTGAGATCTAGGTAACCCAGGGATCCTTTGAAAAAAATGTTTATATATATATATATATATATATATATATATAGCTATAACAAAAATTAGCAAAATATATTTTCTGGACTGTCCAAGTTATGTTAACTTAAAATATTGAATGTTTAATGTTTAACAGCAAGTCTTAACACATTAATCAATTTTGATATAATTTATAAAGTAGAACTCATCTGTTTAATTGTAATTATTTTAGTTTTGTTATTGTCATAGGTTTCAACAGCTACAAATTACAAAATATGCTTCCTCTCTCTCTCTCTCTCTCTCTCTCTCTCTCTCTCTGTATATATATTTTGAGGATAAAAAAGAAAGCTTGGATAGGCTATGGTCATTAATTTCTTCTTTCCACTGTTGCCTTTATCTCCTGGAGGTTATGGCACTGACTATTCTCTGCAAAGTGCCTTTGTTGTAATAATATTTATTGTGAGTGCTGGACAAATTAAATTGAAAACGTTTCACTTCAGGTTTATACATTCAACAGTACTCTAATTGTGAAGATAATTCACTGTTAATTTAATACATAGTAGATAGCCTAGTTTCCTATTTTCCGTTTTTGACAGTATACAAACAAATTTAATGCATTTATAGCCTAATATCATGTTTACTGTTTTCACTCTAAATGGATCTTTATGCACGAAAATAGCTGCCTTTAACATTTTACGAATATATAGTTATTCTTCTAGAGCTTGAAAACCCCCGATCTAAAGTGATGGGCAGGTTAATTCATCTTATAATGGGCTAATTTTACAACAAACAAATAATTAACCTACTACTGAAACCCGATGATACATAAATTACGGACATGATACACAAAACGACGCTTTTCAGGTAATGTTATTTATTTCTCTTATGGTTTTTGCTTGAATAATCTTTGCACAGCTGATTATTAAAGGTAAACCTCGCGCAATAATTAGAGTTTTTGAGCTATGGTAGTAATTTGAATAACATAATGGCTTTATAGAGTTGCTGAGATTTTTGGATGATTGTCGTTTTCAAGAAGTGATCAAAATAATCCATGTTTATTTCGCTTTTGGATGATGAGGGAGGCTGTAGCGCCATTGCCGCACGACGCCAAGACGAGAGAGCCCCCTAGCGGGACATGGCGCAATTACACGCACGAGTAGCGCACTGGTCCTGATGCTGCAGGATGCGGTATTGATGCAGAATATGACCTCGCTTTACGCTGCATCATGTGGCTCAGTCTCTGTGGCGCAATGGAATAGCGCGCTGGACTTCTAATCCAGAGGCTCCGGGTTCGAGTCCCGGCAGAGATGAGTCGATAATGACGCCATCGCGGAATGATGGCTTTTTTTAAATGCATAAATAGGTCTTATGATGCTTAATCGTAGCTGAGGATGCAATGCACATTACATTTTAGTGAATGAACACACTCTTGTGTATGCCTAGCAATAAACTGTTCGTTATGAAAACAATAATAAAACATCCATTTATTATAATTTAAAAATGTAAAAAGCCTAGTTTATGTGGTTGTATGAGTTTTTCCACAGTTAGTTAACTATCCAACGGTTTGCAAACGACATGTATTTGGTAAATTGTTATATATAGTATTCTTGATTTTTATTTTTTTTTGCCTATATTAATACAGCAAAAATTGCATTTTTTGTCTTTTTAGGGATGCAAGATTATGCATGTTATGTAGAGGATGAACCCCTGTGTATGCATATTAATAAAACACTTTTGGTTTGAGAAACATTATTTAACTTATTTAACATATATATAACTTTAAAAGCATCTATGCGTCGTCGCCCCCCCCCCCCCCCCCCCCCCCCCCCGCCCCCCCCCCCCCCGCACCCCCCCCCCCCCCCCCCCCCCCCCCCCCCCCCCCCCCCCCCCCCCCCCCCCCCCCCCCCCCCCCCCCCCCCCCCCCCCCCACTGTTATGAAGGGAATATAACTTGCAAAACAAAGTATTCTTGATTTTTACGTTTTTATCCCACATTTCTAATACATACAAAAATGTCAATTTTTCTTTTTAATGCATTCTTGTCCCCTTTTGCTCTCTCAAATCAGTTCAGCTGTAATATACTTGTCTATGGTCTTGCCAATAAAGTCTTTCTAACGTGAAGAGAATTTTCCTGAATTGCACTGGGGAGAGCAAGAGAGAGAGAGAGAGAGAGAAAGGTGGAGAAAGAATGAGAGCCTGCCAGAGAGATGGAGAGAGACATCAGTGTCCTATTGCGAACGGTGTGATTGGCTCTTCCCAGTCATTATGGAATAGAGATAGAGAGGAATCTCACCTCTGCACTGCCTGATCAAACTCTACGGGAAATCCTCTTCCAGGAAACCCTCCTTCACTCTGTCATGCATTTATCTGAATTGAAAGTGTGAATGTTCGCTAGAGAGTTTCTCAGTCATTCATTTATCCACTTTGAGCTCATTTTCATCCTCTCATCCACCCACATGAGGCAATTTCACCAGTATCACCCTGCTTTGAAATTCCATCTACAATTTTGCCATTCATATGTGATGATGGCTTGTTCATCTACTTCTCCACAGGCAAGCTGGTTATGCGAGAGAAAGAGAGAGAGAGAGAGAGAGAGAGATGGAGATGAGGGCTCATTTTAATGCAGTATTTGATTTCAGATGTTCAGCAAGTCATTAAACTGATAATTCAGACGTTCTGTTCGTATTATCCCTCTCTTCCTGTCTCCCTCGCACGCCTGGGCCGGTCGGAAACTCGGGTGTTGGTTTCTGCGCTGCTGGACACTCGCACGTCGAAGGAAAGGAATTGCGCAGGTCACGCGTGGACTGTCACAGCTCTGCGGAGAATGACGTCAGCGTCTCTATAAAATGATGAAATGGCCAAACACTAGAAACTGAAGGTACACTGGACCGCACTTCGCAGACTGAAATACAGTTGCCTGAATATTTTCTCAATCCGATAGGCTGAACTACTTCGGTGTGGAATGATGTAACCGGGCGCTTTCTGGGAATACCGGAACGCTCGCAGTACAGTCTCCTGACCGGTAGATGTAACTGTCTCATCCGTATCAGTGATGAAGACAGTGTTGACGTGCGTGCACAAGCTGGGATGATAACACTACAAACATACTGTATCTTTTTATTTACCGCATAAAGAGATTAATTTTCCACTGTCTAATCTGTGTCATGGTTTATTCTCTCCGTGAAATGAATAAAAGCCGACAGGCTGTGGGCTGCTGGCATTAGACACAAGTATGTAGTGATTTGGGCCGGAAGTGTCCCGCCCCAAGGCTCCGGTTGGCTGCTCGAGCCACCGCCACGGTGACCGAGTCGCTGCTCTCTCGGGGTATCTGCCTCTCGTGCAGTCGTCCATGTTTAACCCCGTGCATCCCCCGCACCGCACAGTGAGTAATCCGCGTGCAGAACTAATCCTTAAATCCTATCGCGAGTCGCAACGCCCTCCCCTCCCTCCTGCCACCCTCTTCTCTCGCGCGGGCCTCCCGAGCAGCCGGCGGGGTCTCCAGAGCCCGGCTCGCGCGGGGACTCTATTCACAAGACCACACCTCGCGCCGCCACCAACCTATCTATATAAAGGGTCGACCCTCACGAAAACATTTCACCCCGAAAATTTGGATTAAGAAGATAGAACATATTTTCAGGACCATGAAGATTTATTGTGACATTATTTTCATGACAACTAAGCCTTTGAAAGAAAAATGTAATTAAAAAAGCTATTTATCTCAACGTCCAGACGTTTTGTAATTCACATAATTCTTAATGATGATTTTATTTACTGTAAACAGAAATGTTATTTAATTCCGTGTAGGTTAATAAAATATATTTTCTTTTGAGTTAAATATTTAAAACAGCTATTTATTTATTTACTTGGTTATAGAAATGGCACAACTAGTGTGTTTTCTAAACATTAGGTAAATTAAATTATTTACTGTATTGTTTGCATATTTATTCATTTTTCTAGATAAATTAATTGATCATATTTTGACTTAAAATTGTGCATTTTGAACTTCAAAGATACTAATAAAATCAATCTGTATATACATATATAATAAATTATGTTCTTTATTGTTTTCGTCTAATGTTTAGTCAGAAACACAAACAAACAAAAGGTTAATATATTAAATATAAAAGTTTTAAGTTTCGTGAGATTCTTCTAAAAACAGACTATAGGCCACGCACTTTACGCACTTCTAACATTAATAATTTTATCAACAACACTAATAATAATAATAATAATCTCTCAGGCAGTATGGTCTAGCCCTGTTATCCAAACGGTACGGCCAAATCGTATTAAACCCCCACCCCTCCCCCCTCCACACCGCGCGCCTCCCTCCCTCCCTCCCTTTCTCCGTGCATTCAGACAGACTGTTTTGCTGCAGTGAACGGTAGCCGTGGAGAGAGGAAAAGGCAAGAAAAACAAGAAGATAGCGGAGGGCGGAACGAGAACCAAGACAGACAGATCCATTGGGACCTTAGCGTGAGCGCCAGCAGGCATAGACGGGTCCAACACTCCAGAGCCGACGGAGTCGACGGGCATCACGAGGAGCGCTTATAACGGTGCGTATTGTAATCTGCCCTCCTTTTGAGCACACAGACACGCAGAGGTATTATTGTCGTTGGCGTCCTGGCGCTTATGCTGAGGGGGGAGACACCTGTCAGGTTTGTAAATAGGGGCACGCTCGTGCTCTGGAATGCGCCTGCATCCGCGCGCGCCTCTCCTGACGGGCGCACCGGGCAGGAAACCGTCCAACGAGCTCGGAGGTGTTAAACTATGAGCGAAGGGAAGAGGGTTGATGTTAAAGTGCGCTGATGGTTGCTTGCCCCCTCACGTTTCCCCTCCCCTCCCAATCGCGAGCTCTACCAGCATTCCTGCCGCTCCTTCTGCATTCAGCGCGCTCGGACTGTGTGCACCTGCTACTGTTTTCCGTGGTTCGGTGGGGCGTCCCGGTTGCGCGGGTGAGAACGGGACTGGTGCTCAGCGGGAGAGAGAAGGGGGAGGGAGGGAAATAAAGAGGAGAAGTGCGAGAAAAGAACCGATGAGTGAGGGAGGCGGCGCGGGTGGTTCCGTTTCGGGTCGCGTGTCACAGACTTGCAGCAGGTATCATCACCTCATCCCAACAGTCGAGATGAGGCGAGGCTTCGCTGCTCGCGCTGAACATCCACATCCACGCACACACACACACTGACAGTTTGACAGCCACTGTCCGTCCTTGCCTCCCCCTATAGTTGCACAACAATACAAAGCATCTCTGCGCGATGGCCCGCCGCTCCGCAGGCAACGCCATGACTTGCACAGTTCACACAAGCGCACAAAGAGAGAGGAATAGGCAGCCAAACGACCTGGACTATTGTGTGAGAGCGCGCGCTGAATTCTCAACGGGCGACAGGTGCACCTTCCTCTCGCGCGCGCAGCAGTCAGAGCGGGAGAATAACGAGAGCGGTGTTGAAGGCCACCAGGAGGATTTCGGGGGCAGCGCTCTACAAATCTCAATTCAGGCACGCGCTCGCTTTTACGTAGCGTTGGTCGATTCAGAGTCCTTTTCTGGGTTACTGAATGACGAAGGGAATGTTTTCGATCACTGCGTCACATCACACACAGCGAGTGACACGAGGCGATCAATGGAAGCACTGGGGCAGCGCGGGAGTGAAGTGTGTGTGTGCTCAGCATCAGTGCGACCAATCGGCGCTCTCCGTCTGTTAATGAGTGTGTATGTGTGTGTCCTTTCTTCCAGTCAGCGCTTCGTAGAGCTTCTCCACTTCTCCGGGTCTCGAGAGGACTATTGGGTTTAACGCTTTGGACTGATGAGCGGGATGCGCGCGCGTCAGAGTATGACATTCCCCGCGTTGCAGCGGGCCGCTCTCAGGGCGCTCGCGGCCTTGACGATGCTTCTCGCAACCTCCGTTAGGAGCAACTTCGTTTTCGGTAAGAAAGGCCCACCCTCCCCCTCTTCAGTCACTCAGCTCCTCCCTAATGTTTTCACTGTTTTCTGTTTTTACAAGGGAATCACAGAGCCGTTAATAAGCTCGTGGGGCACAGAGGAACCTCCCCCCTCATTTCAGTTCTAACGGAATTTTCTGCTGTGTTTTGTTATTTTGGGAACTATAACATTATCTATCTATCTATCTATCTATCTATCTATCTATCTATCTATCTATCTATCTATCTATCTAAATTGTTGGTCTGAGTCTTCTTTTCATTATGAACTCATTTTTCCTTATAAAGTGTTTTAACATACTTGGAAGGATTGGAGATCAGGAAGTTTTCTGTTTTTACAAGGGAATCACAGAGCCGTTAATAAGCTCGTGGGGCACAGAGGAACCTCCCCCCTCATTTCAGTTCTAACGGAATTTTCTGCTGTGTTTTGTTATTTTGGGAACTATAACATTATCTATCTATCTATCTATCTATCTATCTATCTATCTATCTATCTATCTATCTATCTATCTAAATTGTTGGTCTGAGTCTTCTTTTCATTATGAACTAATTTTTCCTTATAAAGTGTTTTAACATACTTGGAAGGATTGGAGATCAGGAGATGGTATCATAGTTTCAGGAAATCATAACTGCTTTTATTTTATTACAAATACACCACAAAGAGTATAGATCTATCTATCCTCAAGCTCATGTGCACACATTACATTACATTATCCTAACGGAGATGGACTGAATTGTGTAGGTGTAGCTATTGGTTCTCTATAGAGTTTAGGACCGAACAGCATCTTTATCAAATCCTTTTCATTATAAAGTCTAAATTTGTTCACCAAGGAATGCAGCTTGTGTCTGATTCATTGTCACCGTTTCAGCAGACTGATGAGTGGAGATCATAACTGCTTTTAATTTGAAGTAGAAGTATAATTTCTGCACAAGTGTACATTACACAATCACAATGAGTTGGAGTGAATCAGTCTACTGGCTTGTGTAGGTGTATTGTTACTCTCTAGAGTACTCTCTGAACAGATCTTCATCAAATGTCCAAATGTTTGAGTGAAAATATGGATGATTAATCATGAATGGTGATTGTGATAGAGTTTTCCTTTAGAAGAAGTGTGAACTGGACATTTGTGTTGAAATGTCAGATTCAGTGAGATGGTGTCATTGTTTCAGCAGTCATGAATTATTTTACTTTCTTTCTTTCTTTCGATCCTGATCTCATCCTTTCTCTCTCACACACTTAAACTCTGTCAGCTGTTTTTGCTGCTTACTGCATTATTCATTATTGTGCTTTTTTTGTGTGGTTTTGCATATCCACTGGCCCTATGCATCCTTAATGCGAATGTGAGTGTATGTGTGAGTGTGTGCAGATGTAAGAAACTCATACTTTAGTTTATATGCGCTAGTGGAGCGGGTTGTTTGAGAGGTTGTTTGATTGGTGTATGAACATGTTGAGTGCTGTATTTATAGCTGGAAACAGAGTACATGATTTGTAGGTTTGTATGTTCTGCACTGTATGATCTGCAGCCATCAGATTTTAGGGTACATTAAATTACTTGTGATGCTGCTGGTTCCACCTACTTTTGCTAACTTTTCCTGTGCTGCTGTAACCAATCAGTGTATTGCAATGTCTTTTCACCTATGTCCACTAGCATCATTCATTAGAACAAAGTGTAAAGCTTTTCACATGAATGCAGGGTTTACTACAGAATTCAGTTTTATTAGTGAGGCCCCGTCCACCCTTCATTCTACATGCGTGTTTACATATTAGAAATTCATACTTTATGCAGCAAGGCCACATTCAATTGGTTAAAAGGGACGGTAAATACATTTATATTGTTACAAAACATTTCTGTTTAAAATTAATGATGTGCTTTGAACTTTCATCAAAGAATCCTGTAAAAATGTATAACAGTTTCCACAAACATTTAAGGAGCACAGCTGTTTTCAACATTGATATAGCCTAGTGATACATTGATAAAATTAGTGAAATATGCAGACTGTGCTGGAGTTTATGTTGGATTTAGTGCAAAACCATATTGTTTACTATGAGTGGATTAATAAAAGTGTATTAAATTGACACCTTACCTTTGGTCATTAGCAAACATGATGATTATAGAAGATGATAATCAGACAATAGCGCTGTCTAATTTTGATTCACAAAGATCTGGCTCATAAGAGTCATTGGCTTGCGAATCAGACTACACTTTTAAATAACTAAAAAGAGTTGGCTCATAAAAAGAATATGTTCGAGAATCAGATTGGTGGCAGTTGATTCACTGAAAAGAGCCGGCTCACAAGAGTCATTTGTTCGTGAATCTGAATACACTGTCCGTGGTGAGTTTGTTCTCGAGTGCATCCCACGAAACCATTTCTTGCCATTATTTTGCAGTGCATGGTTACACCGCATTCAATACAGATTGCAAACCCACATTCATAACTCAGGTAAATGTGATTGGTCTTATAGCGACATCACATCATAAATTATGTATATATAAATGCGTTATATATAAGTAGGCCTATAGTCCATTTGAGGTGTACGCGAACACAGGTGGTCGACACATGTGCTCTAGAAAGATTCATCTTTGTCCAGCGTCTGCTTTATTTTTCTTGAGAAGTTATGACCGATGAAATGTCTTTGTTCTCTTTTAAGCTTAAGTTGCTGCTATCTCATAACCCTCTAACAGAAGCATTTATCAATGCGTGTGTCTGTTGTTGTTGCAGTCTCTGCTATTTTGTTGTTGTTGTTGCGTCTCTTTAGTTTCATTTTCTACTGTAAAATAATGGCCTGGGACAGTGTTGCCACCTTGTGGAAAAACTGACTAGTACAAAACCAAGTCAATAATTCACGCCGACGCCGACACTGATGGCTGCCTCCGTGGCGTGCTCTGCAGTTGTTTTTATGTTTTTGTTAGTTTGTCCTGTCTTTAGTTATATCCCTGCAATCAGTTTCACCAGAGACGAATTGCTGGACATTCAGAAGTACACACCACCCGATATTTCACCGGTTTTCGATTATTCTAATGTTTTGCTGGACATTGTAGTCGGGGGAGCTGCTGCGCTGATCAGACGCTTCAGGACGCGCAGAAGGGGGAAGCGAGCCGGCGTGCTCGTCAAGCTAAGGCAGCGCGGATTCAGAACGCCGTTGCCAAGGCATCCATCTGGCGAACCTCCGCTCTCTACCCAACAAAACGGATGAGGTCCTTCTGCTCTCCCGAACAAATAAGGATTTTTCAAACTCTGCTGCTCTGTGTTTCACGGAAACCTGGCTGAAAGACGCCATTCCGGACAGTGCGTTGAGTCTGCCGGGCTTTCAGCTGTTTAGAGCAGATCACGATGCAGAATCAACGGGGAAATCGCGCGACGGCGGGACATGCTGTTACATCAATGAGAGGTGGTGTACAGATTTAACTGTGTTGAAGAAGATGTGCTGTTCAGATCTAGAAGTGCTCTTCATTAACTGTAAGCCTTTCTACTCGCCGCGGGAGTTTTGTTCGTTGATTCTCGTAAGTGTGTAAATTCCTCCGCAAGCACACGTGAGCTCCGCTTTACAGAAACTCGCTGATCAGATCACAGACACAGAACAACAACACCCAGACTCTGTTTTAATCATTCTCGGGGACTTTAATAAAGCAAATCTCTCCCGTGAACTGACAAAATATAGACAGCACATCACATGTCCCACCAGAGTTAAGTTTGCACATAATATACCTGTACATACAACTGTCTATTGTTATATACCTGTACATACAATTGTCGATTTGTATATTTTTTATTCCTTATTTTACTTGTTCTATTTATTTTTTTATTTTTTTTTTATTATCTGTGTTTTTTTGTTCTGTCACTGTCATTCTGTTACACTGTGGAAGCTTCTGCACGAAAACAAATTCCTCGTATGTGTAAACATACCTGGCAATAAAGCTCATTCTGATTCTGATTCTGATTCTGATTCTGATGTGCATGAGCAACCTGTGCGTACAAATTAAGCGTGGTTACAAAAATCAGATGGTGCGCATACAGTATGCCTGGGACAGTGCTGCCATACAGTCAGTTGTGGAAGCTTCTGCACGAAAACAAATTCCTCGTATGTGTAAACATACCTGGCAATAAAGCTCATTCTGATTCTGATTCTGATTCTGATTCTGATGTGCATGAGCAACCTGTGCGTACAAATTAAGCGTGGTTACAAAAGCGAGGGGAAGAAAAAAAAATTGGAGTGTCTTTACATTAAGTGCAAATAGCGCGCTTTTTGGCAAACGCTATTTACAGTAACTCCGCCCACCAATATCTGGTTGCCACTCAATATTAAAAAAGATGCATTGACTTCAATGGCTTCAGTGGTGTAGGCAGTACAGCGTCAGACTTACTTTTTGACGCGATCAACCTGGGTTCGAGTCCGCCACTAAATGGGCCTCATTCATGAAACACGAGCAGAAAAGCTGTTCTGACATAAACTTTCAAACTCATGAAAATGTTCGTATTTTCAAAATGTTAGTTAGTACGAAAGAGATGTACACCTGCTCATGTGTTAATGGTGCGTAAAACATTCTGGGTTCTTTTTGGCAAACTGATGACACTGCGTTTTGATGCACTGCCATCATAATATCTGGGGTTTTTTTCTTTTGGAGCTGAGACTATAGTTGATTACTGTTCAACTTTGGGTAAAACGCAGCGCTTGTCACTGTCACAAGCCGTCCAATCAATGGGACAAATGCTACACCGACCAACCATCCTACTTGTACAACGACTGAGCAACAATGGAGAAGTACTGCATTTTTATATTCAGGCAGCGGCTGTTTGCATGAATGAGTTCTACTGCAGGTTTGAAAAAACACCCCACACCCGCCCTGAACACCTCTCCACACAACCATTCACACCTCCAGCAACCCCCCTCTCCCCCACACCTGCAATTCAGATCAGCCAGGTCTTCCGGAAGCAGAAAAGGAAAAAAGCACCAGGCCCAGATTGTGTTACACCAGTCTGTCTGAAATCCTGTGCTGACCAGCTGGCCCCCATCTTCACACATACTCAGTCTACATTTAAGTTTGCACATAATATACCTGTACATACAACTGTCTATTGTTATATACCTGTACATACAATTGTCGATTTGTATATTTTTTATTCCTTATTTTACTTGTTCTATTTATTTTTTTATTTTTTTTTTATTATCTGTGTTTTTTTGTTCTGTCACTGTCATTCTGTTACACTGTGGAAGCTTCTGCACGAAAACAAATTCCTCGTATGTGTAAACATACCTGGCAATAAAGCTCATTCTGATTCTGATTCTGATTCTGATTCTGATGTGCATGAGCAACCTGTGCGTACAAATTAAGCGTGGTTACAAAAATCAGATGGTGCGCATACAGTATGCCTGGGACAGTGCTGCCATACAGTCAGTGCCGGATTATCCAATGGGCATTATGGGCACAGGCCCAGGGGCCCATGCACACTTGGGGCCCAAGCGAGGGGAAGAAAAAAAAATTGGATTGTCTTTACATTAAGTGCAAATAGCGCGCTTTTTGGCAAACGCTATTTACAGTAACTCCGCCCACCAATATCTGGTTGCCACTCAATATTAAAAAAGATGCATTGACTTCAATGGCTTCAGTGGTGTAGGCAGTACAGCGTGAGACTTACTTTTTGACGCGATCAACCTGGGTTCGAGTCCGCCACTAAATGGGCCTCATTCATGAAACACGAGCAGAAAAGCTGTTCTGACATAAACTTTCAAACTCATGAAAATGTTCGTATTTTCAAAATGTTAGTTAGTACGAAAGAGATGTACACCTGCTCATGTGTTAATGGTGCGTAAAACATTCTGGGTTCTTTTTGGCAAACTGATGACACTGCGTTTTGATGCACTGCCATCATAATATCTGGGGGTTTTTTTTCTTTTGGAGCTGAGACTATAGTTGATTACTGTTCAACTTTGGGTAAAACGCAGCGCTTGTCACTGTCACAAGCCGTCCAATCAATGGGACAAATGCTACACCGACCAACCATCCTACTTGTACAACGACTGAGCAACAATGGAGAAGTACTGCATTTTTATATTCAGGCAGCGGCTGTTTGCACTAAGTGTAAATAGTGATAGAGGCTATTTACACTAAGTG